TATATATATATATGTATGTTTAGATATGTTTTCAGGAATGTATGTTTGCCATTGTAACCCAAATTTCTTCAAACAGAGCGGAGAAATATGCTTTCAGAGATGTGTTCAGATATGACAAAAATATCTAAAATATATTATGTATGTGCGGTTACCAAAGCAAAGATTGCTTCACTTCAAAGGACAATCGTATTGTCTTTTTTCCCCTAACAATGATACTAATCTGTCCAGGCAATTCAAATGGATGAGGTGTGTGTGTATGTGTGTGTGTGTGTGTGTGTGTGTGTGTGTGTGTGTGTGAGAGAGAGAGAGAGAGAGAGAGAGAGAGAGAGAGAATGGAGGAGGGGGAAGTAAAATGGAGGAGCTATTCTACACACTCCTTCTGGAACGCTGTGTGTCGTTGTGTTGTGTTGGGTGGTTGGCGGGGGCTCTTGTGTGGTGTGGTTCGCTATTTTTTTTTCTATCAAACACTTGTCGTCCTTGTCTGTCCTCCTTCGTTTTTTCTTCACAAAACTAAGAAGTAACAAACTTATGTCTGTTTGCAGGTAGGCCTATTCCTTCACAAAACTATGAAGTAACAAACTTATGTCTGTTTGCAGGTATTCCTTCACAAAACTATGAAGTAACAAACTTTTGTCCCTTTGTCTGCAGGTATTTCTTCATAAAAATATAAAGTAACGAACTTATGTCTGTTGTCTGTTTGCAGATATTTCTTCAATGTGCTGGCAGCTCTGGTGGTCATCGGACTCTTCAATGGTCTCATGTTGCTGCCTGTTCTCCTCAGCATTCTGGGGCCCAAGGGAGAGGTGAGTTCAGCCACTCATTTCTGTTGTGTGTGGTAGCCTATCCGTTCGAAATTTTTGGAGCCTAAGAAGAGAGTGCTCGTCGCCAGGGCCACCGCCTCTCTTGGGTAGCGGGTGAGGCAGTCCAACCTCCCTGAGTCCTCCCCGAAGAGATGCCTCCACCGGGTGTTGTTGTTGTTGCTGCTGCTTCTGCTGCTGTTGTTGTTCTTGTTGTTAATATGTTATTGTTGTTATTTGTTGGGGCATATGGAGGTATCTGTAGTGCTTAGTGGAGTCAATGATAATGTTTCTGGTTAGATCATGAGAAAATGTCATACTGGTAAACGTTGAATATATTACTGGAGTTGAATTTGTTAATGTAGTTACAACATAGTTTCTTTGATTTCGTCTATATTATTTGTTCTTCGGTTATAAAGGACGTTTATTTCTAAAAGTATATGCTGGTTTCTTTGATGAAGAGTTCATTGGTGATTTGGTTTTTTCTGTAATCAACACAATCCTCTTTTCTACCACCACCAGGTCATCCCGAAGGATAACGGCGACTGTCTGGCCACACCCACACCCGAGCCGTCGCCCAAGCTCGATCGCTACTCCCACCACCACCACCACCACCACGGGGGCAGCGGGCGCTCGCACCGGTCTGGGGGTCGACGGGTGTACCCGCGGGTCAACTCAGACATCTCTCTGTCCACCATCTCGGAGGAACCCACACAGTATTCCTCGCACGAGATCATCGTGCAGCCTGAGGTCGTCGTGGAGACCACCACCCTCCCCGGCACCTGCCAGGATATGCACCACCAGCAGCAGCATCAGCATCCTCACCACAGGACCAGCAGCAGCGGCGGCGGTGGCAACAACAGCAACAGCAACAATGGCGTCATAGCAACTACCTCAACTGTATATAATCACAACAACAGCACAAGTAGCAGTAGGACCGTAAGTGTCTCACCACTGGGCTGGGTGGGGGGGGGGGGGGGGGGGTGTTCCCCCCTTGCTTTCTGTATTCTGTTGTTGAAGAAAAAAAAAAAAAAAAATAATAAATTGAATTTATATAGCGCATTTCCACAAAGAAGTGCTCAATGCGCTGTACAATAATACAAAGAACATATGAAGCGCACTGCTCCTCTAGTAATCCTCTTTCTCTCTCTCTCTCTCACTAGTCTCACTCTGTCTGTCTGTCTGTCTCTCTCTCTCTTTCTCTCTCTTTCTCTCTCTCTCTCTCTCTCTAGTACATCCTTGAGTAAAGACAATCCCTCAAGGCTTACCCAGACACCCTCGCACACATACTGACATTTGTTATAGACATGCTATTCGCGGGCAGTATTGCATACAGTCATACAAACGTATCTGAAAGGCCGCCAAAAATTATTTACGTCTGTATTTTCAATACTGCCTGCATATTGTGGTTAGAACCCAGATGGCTGCTGGATCGGAAAAGTAAAATGGGTTTTCTTTCAGATGTTTTGTATTGTTGTTCTACAGGGGGGTGGGGGTTGGGGGGGGGGGGGGGGGTGTTCCTTCAGAAATTTGGTCTCTATAATTCTGACGGTTTATACAACTCACCTGATCAGCAACGTAAACATTCAAATATCGCAGTTTTTTAAACCTTTGTTGATTTGAAATGTCAGAATCGTTTGTAAGCTGATGACATATTCCGCCACTCATCATCAACGAGATTTTCTGTGAATTGAGAAAACTGTGGTCAGCAGGGTTGTTGTTCCTTCCAATTCTTGCATTTTGTCTGACTATGATGAATATTATAGTCTTACTCTTGGAAAGTCACAGTTAAAGAGTTGAAAACACACTTACAAGGATTATTATATTCTCATTTTTCTCATTGCTTTTTTCCATCCAATGACTATTCATACCTGTATGTGTGTGTGTGTGAGAGAGAGAGAGAGACGAGAGAGAGAGAGAGAGAGAGAATGTGCATATGTAGTTACCATTCTGAAGCACATTTTTCCTACTGAGACTAATAAATTATCTTATCTGATCTTATCATATCTTATCTTATCCTGCCCAGGTTTCATGTGTATTTAATTCTATCTTTCCTTTCATCTGCGCAGAGTTTGAGTCCTCCCGACACCCCTCCGCCCCCACTGCCTGCCCACGTGACTCGGGTCAAGGCCACCGCCACTGTCAAGGTCGAAGTCCATACCCCAATTCCAGGTAGGCCTACTGTTGTTGTTGTCGTCTATTCTCTAATCAGAGTAGGCCCTACAGTTGTTTGACTGTCCACCTTTTGGCGCGTAGTGTTTTTATCTGCTTGCTTTTGTTTTGTAAGGTTACAAAGTTTGTTTTTTCTTTTTCTTTTGGTTTATATATATATATATATATATATATATATATATATATTCATATTTTTTTACGATTGTACACTTTTTGGGGGGGTCATTTTTTAAAGGCAGGAACAACTTGCAAACAGAGAAAGCTAAGGATGGTCGATTGTTTCTTTCTGGTCAAGTAACTGTATTATTTTATTTTTTAATATGGTAATATATATTAACTCTTAATTGATTTTAACTTCTAGATTCTAATGGTTTTACTTTTAAAAAATCCTGGTAGGTTCTGTGAACCAAGAACACACATACAAAAGCAAGAGACGGAAGAACAGGGATGGGTTCGAGAACACAAGCAGCTCTGACTCCGATGCCGGTCGGCGGAGGAGGAAGTGCGAGAGGGAGGCTCAGACAACGTCGTCGGACTACCCACCGTCCAGTCGCAGTCGAGAGGGGACGTCCTCTTCATCGTCCAGCAGAACTCAGGCCCACCCTCCTCCTCCTCCCACCTCCTCCGCGACGCTACAGCTCCAGCCGCCGTCCTCCCATCGACGGGGCAGCGGGCGCGGCGAGAGCTGGAGCCACAGCGGCTCTTCTGTGATGTCATCGAGTAGGAGGAGTCGGAGGAGGGCAAGGCGGGAGGAGGAGGAGGAGGAGGACTACGCCAGCTCAGACCAAGACTGCAGTAACGTGTGACCAATGGCTTGAGCAGCTGTGGTAAGTGTTTTGTAAAGTCTGTGGCGCACTAGCATTTGCCCTTACACGTACCTTTCCAGTATTGATAAAATGAAACTTATCAACCATATGTACAGATGATTTAAACTAGCACAATCACCAAACTGCTGGACACATCCTTCAGCACTGCAATACACACAGGGCCCGGAGACAGGAAACGTGGCCAATCCCACTGACACTACAAGAGAAGCTATACAGGCCGACAGATGAACTGAGCAGGACGGCCCAAGTTATGACAGATACCAGACTTCAAGTGTGATGCGATCGAGAAGAAGGAATAAAAAACTTATCAACCTTCCTGTCAATACTTACTTCATCTGTAACTACGCATGTGTGTCTGGGGGGTCTTCATGCTGAGTCAGGCTACATTTGGGGAGCTGTGACGTCACACAAAACATGCTTTTTATGTATTGAATAGGGGGTGGGGTTGTAATTTCTTTAAACTCAAGTAATCAAGTTATAACATCTGACAGTGTAGAGTTTACTAAAAATTGGTCCCAAAAAAATATAAATTGGTCAATGTATACTGGTTTTGTAATTATTTTAGAGGTTTGAGCTAAAAGAATGATATACTAACTTCCTACAGAATTTGGTTTACCAATGTTGGAATATCTTTCTTTCTTCCATGAAGAGTCTTTGTGTGGGCTCATTCAATATAAAGTAAGTTAAAGAAAGTAACTAATGTTTCTATTACATGTAGTGCTAAAAAATCTAACTCAATTTTTTCCCCCCGCTCATCCAGGCACAGTAGAAGCCAGCAGCAGGCAAGTGGTCCTCACTCACCCCCACCAACGTTCAAAGCTTGACCAGTATCTGCGGAGATCTAGAAGATGAACCTGATAAAAGCCCCGGTATATAAGACAGAGGCTCTGGGTGCTGTGGGCTCGGTCAAAGCCACGGAGCAAAAGCACATCCTCAAACTGGGAGCTGTCAGCCTCCGAGGGATCCAGTGAGAGCAAACGTGGATGGCCGTTGTGATTCTCTTCAAATGGACCGAATAAGTTCAGGACTCAAAGACTGCTGAAGTTGGAGACATTGTTCACAGACATAACGAGCTAACTGCTGTATCGAGGCCTTAATTTGTTGGTGTTTTTTATACATACAAATAATTATGCACACACAGAACTGCTGACTAAAGGCCTTAGTCTCTCTAATTCTTACACACAAATTATTATAATAGTTTATATATATATTGGTGACAGAGGGAAGTTCACTGTGAAATTGTTATTCTTTTATTTTTATACAAACCTGTTTGTTTGTCAGGGACTTCTGTGCAGAATGTGTCCAGCGGTTCTGTTTGTTGTAATAATGACTCCGAAGTGCTCGAACAAAGTTGATTGAAACCTGTCTTTTGTCTCTTGAAAAAGATGTCGCATATCAGCGTGTGGTTTTGCGTGGCTTGAGTTCATTTGTCGAGTCCTACAATATAAAATGGCAAGATGCTTGAAAAAGCTTCTCCGCAGACACGGGCTTATTAAGAAGAGAGAGAGAGAGAGGCCTTTCTATGTTTTTGTTTTATCTTCTACTCCCTGTCCTCAAATTTGTTTTGATATTGGTGGTAACATGCTGTTGACAATCGATTATACTGTTCAAATGATGTGGGCTATCTCACTGTGAGCAAAAGATCACCGATTTTTGTTTTGTTTTTTCTTTACGTCCCTGAATACTCTGTTAAAGTGTTAGAACGAATCGTTTGGTTGTAAGAGTCAGAGCAGAAAGGGAAGGGAACTGAGAATTAACCTGAACATTATGAACATTAACGTGAGTATGTGTGTGCGTTAATATATATATATGTAATTATATATATATATGTTTATATACATGTATATATATATAGTTATATATGTATTAGAATATATATATATATATATATATGTATGACAGTGTACATATTTCTGCGTAGTCCTGCACTTGATGTTGGATCGATGTATTCATGCATTTTATGTTTAAACTCGTAAGTGTAAATTTTATGTTTGCTTTTTATTAATGATTTTACAGGAGTGTTCAACTTCTCAATCAAAACCTGGACGTCGCAACACTGTTGACCCAGTTCCTGCACACTACTGGGGTTTGTTTGGGTTTAGGGACGATGTAAAAATAAATAAGGGACGGTTCTAGTTCACTTCTTTTTATTTATACCACTATTGTCAGTGTAAGTCATAAATCATTTGTTTTCCTTCTTTATATAGGAATGCATATATATGAAATTTTGTTTTTGTAACTTTTTCAGATAGTTTTTAAAATATTTTAATGCATTCTCATGAAGAAGAGGGAGCCATAAAAACTCTCTCTTCATTTTCCTTCTGAAATCATCGTAACATATCTAGTCAAACGGAGTGATGCTGTGGGTGGTCTGTTTTTGATAAGTTGATAGAATTTAGGAGTTGAATGATAGCTTGCAGTTACATACCTGTTTCCATCAAGGCGTACCAAATGAGACTTCACAACAAATGTGATTGCATATGTACAGAAAATGACAAATGGGTCATATTCACAAATATATATGCAAATGTTTGGTTGCTTTTATTACACGGCTATGTTTAGTAGTGCTGTAAGAAAAGGTAACTTTGGAATATCTTAAACTTTGTAAATTCTTGGGAAAGTTGGTGCTAATATGAGATTTTGAGAGGGGGTGGGGGGCTATTTTGCTACCCAGTTTTTACAGATTACAGTAACTGCATCAGAAGTTGATAGATTTAAATTTGAGAGGAATAAAAGTTGGATGCAGTCGTTGGATTGTATGAACTGATTTGGGGGAATTTTTATTTTGACGCTACACACCTAGCGCCGGACCGAAACTTGCACCTCCCCTCGACATTCTAAGGATACCAGAGGAAGGAAAAAAGTAAAAGTAAATAAGTTATTTTGACAATGAAGAGGGCAAGTAGGACAAATCGTGTAATTGTGCAGGTACTGGTCTGACAGCATTGTGGCAGCCTGATGTCTCCTACCTCTTCTGTCCTCGCGGAGGCGGCGGCGTGGTGGGATGTGTTCTCACGACGGCGCGCCTCCTCCGTGCAGTGCAATGTGATATTTGAATAACTCCAAAGAAAGTAGAAAATATTACTGACTATGTTTTATGTGTAAGTTTATGGGAGTGTGACACACAGAGAGAGAGAGAGAGAGAGAGAGAGTTTATTATGTTTGTATGAGGAGTGTTTGAGAAATGAAGATAGTTTGAAGGGTAATGTGTGTGTATATATGTGTGTGTGTGTGTGTGTGAGTGTGGGTAATAACCAGTGCATGTCACAAACCTCTTCACAGGGTTGGATAAAGGAGTCCAAATGTGCTGCGGTTTGAAACCTGCGCCAATGATAAAATGTTCAAATTGGTATTTAGAACAGAAAGAAATTCTTGCAGTGAAAGTATTGATGATCATGACAAACTCTGTGGATTTATTAAATGATCAGAAAGAGTCAATCAGCTGAAATGTTTTAGCATTATATGTTAGAAATATGTTAGAAATGTTTTTTTGATGAACAAGTAAAAGTTTTCTAACCTGACAGTTGCTAAATCAATACAAATGTTTCTTGTCAAACTTTTTTTTTGGAGAAATTACCTGTCCATTTCTTAACAGAAGAGTTACTTTACAGCAAGCCAAATGTTATCAATAAGTTTGTCAGGGTACATCTTTATGTAGTAAAAGGAATTGTATCGCTCCATTTCCCACTGTTTTTGGCTTCCTTTATATCCAAAAAACACATTTACATATATGTATACGCTCAGCCAAAATTGATGTTCAAACAGTTATTTCATGCAGGTACTTTTTAACTCCTTTACCTAATATATTATATTATGCAAAGTTATTTTACAAATTATTCTTACCATCCACACTCAGTGTTGATTGATCAACCGTTTTGATCTGACTGTAACTTTCAGTTCATCCAATAGGTTGACAAGTGAAGTTCTGCAGTGTACCCTTAGCTTTTTTGAAAAGTAATTATTCCCAGTGAGTCAAAGGGATACAATTTGAATATCCTCTGACTAGATTTTCTTTTCTGTTTCGTAAGGTTACTGTCTAGTTTTGTTTACTGCTCTGAAGACTCGTTTTATTGGCCCTAAGGAGAATCATTCTCTCCGTTACGAAGCCCTCTATATTTTTAGAAGTCTGGTTGCTTTTTTATTTACTTGTTCACTTATTTAAGAAAAGAAACTTTATTGACTGTTGAAGAAATTGTTCGTTTATTTCAGTAGCACTGGTATGCAATGCTATGATGAATCAGTCTGACGTGGCGTTTGTTGTATGTGTATACATAATCACTCATGACTCTCATAAATGAGAGAAAATGGCATGAAGCTTACTACCGGTGTCCTCAGCAGTCGTGTGTTCAGAAAGAGATGCCTGATCTGCCATGACAAACAATTAAGGGTTGAAAGGTTCTTGTGCAGTAGCACGTAGCACTGACTTTTGTTCTCAGTTCATTAATACCTCTGGTCCTCTGGTCCTGTGTATTCAGTCCTTGATGTACTTTTTTTTTCATTACGGGTAATACTCATATCGGGTTCAGTGTGGCATGTGTCTTTTGTCAAAATTTTTTTCATTTTTGTAGCTGCCCCCTCCTCCCCCCCCCCCCCCCATCCCTCTTTTTTTTCTTTTTTTTGGTTTTTTTTTAGCAAAGACTGGTGTTTATGATGTTTTTCTATGAGTTTTTTAAGTTGCTGAATGAGATGGATGCTGAGTTATTCACTTTTCTGGAAGTTTATTTGTTTATTGTTTGAATTTGAACTGCATAAAATGAAGCAGCAGATTGACTGGGGGTGAATGGTGGGAGAGTCTTTGTTTGTTTTAGTAGAGGTTTTACGGCGCTCGCAACTGCATAAGGTCATATGAGCGCCAGAAGATTAGAGCTGTTACAAGAGAGTAACAAACATAAAAAAGAAGAAGGGGAGATAAGGACGATAGATGTTTGATAGGAAAGAAGAAGCTGACCGCACCAGAGCACCCGCCAACCACCTGCTTTGAAGAGTCTGCAGGTCTCAAAGAATCATGAAGGATTAATTAAGTTGTTCGTAAAACTGACAGAAAGCCTTTAAGTTAAGGATGCAGCCTATTTAAACTGTTAGTGGTCATTGATAGAACATGTTACCTCAATGGGTTTTTTAAATTTATAATTCAGCAAAAGAAAGAAAACCAGAATATAGCGCCTTAGTTTATCAGAAACATCGTCACAGTGTTCCTTTTCTTTTGGTACATAATATGCATTTTGAACTATTCATTTCGAACCAAATATTTTTTAATGCTCACACTTCATAATTTTGATGTGTTGAGAACAAGAGTTGTTTTTTTTAAAAAGACCAGTGAGCACATTATGTCAAACAGTTGCCAAGAGAGAAAGGGAGAGGGAGTGTGTGTGTGAGAGAGAGAGAGAGAGAGATTACAGGCCAGTTCAGAACACCATCAGAATGTTAAGTGTGTTTTTTGCCTATAGAGTGTACATTTTCATCCTTAGCTTAGTGTGTTCTCCGTGGGTTCTCATTCGGCGTATGAATCAGTGATACTCAGGGTAGATGTGTGTGTTTTCTCAAATGTGAAACCATTTATTTCTTGTAGGTGTTGTTATAGTGGGGTTTTTTTTACCTTATGAGTTTACTCTACACCTGGGGTGTCACTTTTTCTTGCAGCAGAACCCCCACCTTGTGTTCACCTGAGGCTAATTAGACTGGTGATCAGAACAGTATGCTCAGCCAGCAGCAACTGCAGCTTTCAAAGAATAACAAAAACTTTCAACGGGTGATGAAGTTTTTATTTCCGTTGAGTTACATATATTATATCACTGCTGTTTTACGTTAGCTACTTGCTGACAGGTTTTTGAGAAAAACTGAGTATGTTAGATTTCAAGTCGCGTTCCAGCGTCAAAAGGAAACTATATGTTGGAAATATAGCTGTCAAGCTTTAAAAGAAAAGATTGCAGTGATAAATTTAAAAGGATAGACAGATATCCAAGAGGTAGAATAAAAAGGAAACACTCATTTCTTCTTTTTCAGGTATACATTTTTAGAAGTAGCACTGTAGGATTCGTAACTTAACATGCTCATTTGTGCAATATATTAATTTCAAGTGCTATCTTGAATGTGGATCTTTTTAAAAATAATATTGCGTTTGTTTCATTCGTGAGATGAATTTTTTTTTGCTCGGGGAAAGGTAAATGGGCGGGTTGTTGCAAAATGTAGTTTTTGTTGTTGGTTTGTTTGGGGGGGGGAGTTGTTTTTTTTTTATGAAGTGAATGTGAATTTTTTTCTTTAAGTAATTTTGAATGTGACTCCTGAATTTTTCAATGCCTACTGCTAAGATGTGTACTAGTTTGATGTACGTTTTCTATATTTTTTGCTGTACAAAGTGTCCAATCTTCCTCCTGAGAATGTAAGGAAAGATGTTGTTATCTGTACATATAGAGCCGTGTTCAGGTAGTTAAGTTAATGCATTAATTTGCCCAAGTGCCCATTTATTACATTACCATGTTGTACAGCACCATCTATCAAATCACCCATGTTCATCCTATAGTGCACAAATTGTAGGCAAATTGTGGTCATAAATGGTCGCTTTTAAGCACAAGGGGGCTATCCCGATAAATGCTGTTTTGAGAAATTCGAAGTGAAAGTTTTTATTTAAAATTCTTATTCAGTCTCTTTAAAAGACAAGGAGAGTTTTCTCTATAACCAAACAAATGTACACACCAGTGAAACCAAACTTCTCCTATATATAGGTAGGGAAATGCCCAACTTTGGTGTAGGTCAAGAATTCTGGAAACCCCCGGAATCTGGGTTAGCCG